TATAGTATTCCAACTATGTAATTAACAACCAAGACGGGCATCCAAGTACCCTCCCCTACCATGCCTTTGCACAGTACAACACATTGCAGTGATGTCATTGTGCCTACACTGTTGACACTCAATGCGGGCATCTCCACACATACATAGTACCTGCATAAGTCGTGTAAATGGAGGTTCGGCCAATCATTTTGCACTGGAAGGCCGTTGGCCGCTGGAAAGCGGCAGTGGAAATGCTGCAGGACTACCAGTCACGTCTTCAATGGTTGTTGTCAATTCATGTCTCAGTTGAGGCCGTGGGTTTCGAGATGGTTTTGCACACGAGCAAGACAGGCTCCACTATGGTTCCATGCGCACGGGTTTGTGATCTTGGATTTTCACTGGAATGTTGTGAGGTGTTCCATTGTTTTGGTTCAAATAATTGAAACTTATGTTCAACGAGGCGTTGCTGTTTTATATGGTAAACATGTTGTTTTGTTGCGTTTGACCTTGATGTTTCTTACCGTCCTACGAGCAGTGAAATCATTCGCATTTCTTGGAGGCAACGCTCCAGAACCGCACTTGATACTTCAGTGCCAATTGGAAGAAACAACCCTCCAGGCCGGGGCAGAGAACACGGGTTGCAAGAACAGGTAGCCGCAATGCAGTTGCAATGTGTCCAAGTAAAGGCCCTGTATATACACGAAAAACTGGACCCACATTTGTGGATGCAACGCGTGCTTTACAACTCCAAAGACAATGTTGTGGATATTGAAGCTTGGGTAAACCTAGCAAAACAAGGGCCCAACCTTTTGTTTGCAAGGGTTTTCGCTACTTTTTCTACCATTCTTCTGTCAGCTGAGAGGCATTCCTCGATGTTTTGGAGGGGAAGCAGACGGACACGGACGCGGCCATGCTAGAAGAGTGTGGTTATTGCCACAGAAAGTTTCGATTTGACAGGATTGCCAAACATGAAACTAGATGTCCAGAATCAAAGCCTAAGCCAGCGAAGCTCGACATAGCGCAGAAATTGCTTGTTGGCACACCGGGGGAGAAGCACATCCCCGATGTGAGAAGGGAACTCTTAAATGGGACCAAGCTTCCTCCATTGAGAGTACGAAAGTGGGATGATAGTCCAGATGGGCTTCGTGAGTGCTTCCGCTGCAAACGACGCTTTTCAGCCGAAGCCTTGGAGAAGCATGCAAAGCGGTGCACAGCTTCTTTGCGACCAAGCCCAAGAGAACCTGTTACGCCTCCAATCGTGGGGCAGACTGTAAGTTCTTCAGCTCAACCCACAAATGAAAGACAGAAACATTCAAGCAGAGAATTGAGTAGCGGTCGAAGAAAGATTCAGGAGAAAGCGCGAGACTCTGCAGAGAGGGTATCGTCGGCTACAGGGTGCAGAGATCAGAATGTGGAGCGTTCGGGCGGCAGGATTCAGAGTAAGCTCGCAAAAGAGCGCTTGACAGGCGACCTTCGTCAGCCTGGATCCTATCCTTCAGCACCTTCGCATGGACAACCGTGCTACGATCAGCTTGAGCTTGATGTAGCTGATTGGCTGGATGGATAGTACAAAGCATACGTTGCCTTGGCGGGGCTGACGAGTTGAGGATAGGCGCGAAGGAGACCAATGCCATCCATGTTTGGATACAGCAGTTTCTTGGAATTTGGCTTCGAGATTCTCTACAAGTTCTGATCCAACTACCTGGTGCCTCGTGCGCGCAAGCTTGCAGGACTAAGGCTTTAGGAGGTGTAGGATTAGCTTGAAAGTTGAAAAGTGAAGTTTACCTGCAAGACTAGTCATGTTTGTATTCGGGTTGCTTCGCGACGACGACCGCCCGCGCCAGTTGTTCTCAGAGAGAGGGTAAAAGAAATATCTATAAGCGCACTATTTTTGGAGTCTTACTTGTTCTTTGCGCACATTGTTTGATCTATTTTTCGACTTCCTTGAAATTGTGCATGTTCAAAGGGGGTCGAAAAATAGAGCAATTACGCGCTATAAACTATACAACCAACCGAAGCAATAACACTAAAACGCACACTGCCCCTAATTCTCGGGCCTTCATGTTTCAAAGCTTCGGAGGCACATAGTCCCAGGTACATGCACGCGAAACGAAAGTGCATCGGAACAAACGCTTGCAAATGTGTGCGAATGCGTCGAAGCAAATGCAACTGAACAAAGTACGTAGTAGTGCACGAAGGAAGACACAGAGGTACGCCATATAAGTGCACATCTTACATCACTACAAACACGAAACTGCTGCCCCAACCCCCCACCGGAAAAGCGAACAGCAAAGTATGTGACAGGCGCAAAAAGGCGGTGTATCAGCCGCGGACCAAAAGCAATGTAGATGAGCACGGTTGACGTTAACATGTTCACCATTCTTTCTCGACCGCAGCTTGTTCGACGGCTCATGAGCCTAGCTCACGCGCCGCTCACTCAGAGTGGCTTGATCGCGGCTGCAGTCGCGACTCTTTTCCGCGATCCCGGGGTCCATCACGTGCTGCCTTGTTTTTGCGAGGAGATCATTGTGCATTGGCCCTCTTTTACTAGCTGGCATTCTCATCGGGTTTCTGCTTTTTCAGGTGCTGGAGTGGTTGATTCTGTTGAGGGCTGCTCTATCATTGCAGCTCCGCCACCAACAATTCTGGTCTAGGAACTGGCAATTAGCCCGGGCCCGGCTTGCATGAGTTCTACTGAGGACATTGCTAGCCTTCGTGCCGAGCTTAGCGATCTGAAAGAGAGGGTTCGGGTGCTAGAGCAGCTGACGGCTGCCAGGGCCGAAGGGAGCCCTTCCACCGTTGTGCCAGTGACCGTGACCTACCACTCAGCTGCTACGGACAGCCCTTCTGCTGCCCCGCCTGCTGTGACAGTCGGATCCCCCACTCAGTTGCCAGGGACTCCAGTTGGCTTGACACCTGGAGGCCGCATCACCGCTTCTCAGTACACTGAGGAGTACCGCAGGGACATCGCCTTAGGGATTGGAGACTACCTCCGCAGGAGCTTGCAGGGAGTGAATCGTGGGCCCTCGGGCCGAGATCTCGCTGCCTTCAAAGGTCTACATCCTGGTTCGCGACCTGAACGGTCGCACCTACGATCCGGTTGGTGTGCATCACACCTTTTCCTCCCTTCGCCGCCTTGTGCGCGACGAGGACTACTTGGGCGACTCGATCTTCATTGGGCTCCCCTCCCTTTGAAAACAAAGCTTGCTGTGCAGCGTGCCGGGCTCTCCTGGCCCGCATAGATGATGGATGATGAGCGTGAGGAGGACGGTGAACCTATGACTGCTGCCGAAGTGCTGAAGCATTGTTCACTGTTGTCGGATGAGTCAGACCAACCTGTGATTGAGTACCCTGTCGGTGTGAGCGAAGTCATTACACCTACAGGTCAGTCGATCCGGGTTGCAATTATATGCATTGGGGAGGTTGACGGGTCCTTTTTGGTTGCAGTTCCTTACGGGGCATGGCGTCGTACAGTGGCCCGTAGACGACTCCCAAGTTCCTTTTTAGCGAAACCGCTTGCGTGTGATGTTTTGTTGGCTGCCGCTCGTGATCCGGCGGCCGAGACGACTAGTGGTAAGGTCTGGATTGGTTGGCTGTCCGCGGACTTTTGGGAAACCATCTCGTTTGACACGGGTGGTGAACCGGCCCTGACCATCCCTTTCGATGATGACGAGTTGTTTTTACCTTTGGCTTCAGGCTTAGTTGAGGCTGCGCAGAATTTCCTTCCTAGCCGGCTCCAGCCGAGTTCGTACGAATCCTTGCCTCCTGAACCGGATCCAGCTTTAGCCAGCCGGGTCACTGCGCTGGAAGCAAGCTTGGCAGGCATTAGTCAGCAATTAGAGACGTTAGTGACTCTGCAGACAAAGCATTCGCCTGCAGTAGTGCCTCCACGAGCTCCTGTCAAACCTGCTGGAGCTCGACCTAAGGCCTCACGTGCCGCATCTGCTGGTTATGCTGGCCTGGATCCTGCTGTAGTACAATCCGCTTTAGCCGCTGGCATCCAACCTGAGCAACTTGCAGAGATGTCGAAGGTGGCTATGGCTGGGAAGCCTCGGCTTCCCGATCTGCCGAAAGCTGCACCTGCCAAGAAAGATCCCCTGTCGGAAAGTGAAGAAGAAGTCATCGGTTTGGATGTTGGGGAGCGCCCGGGAAAAGGATCCTATGGTGGCTGCATTGACAAAGCTGACTGCCATCACCCAACACCTGGCACGTCAGAGAAAGAGGGACAATTCCCTGGAGGCGCTTCTATAGACGGCTCTGGATTGCCCGGTTCCTCCGAGTCAGGAAGTATGCCAAGCTCTCGGAAGAATGCAGCTGCTCTTCAGGCCCTAAGGAAAACCTTGCACTCCGACCCCGAGAAGATTTCACGAGTGATCGAGAACAACATGGAGACCGACTTCCAGCTGCACCGGACAGGCCTGCCCGGTTCGTCGCCGGTGCAGGTTTCGGCCAGAGCCTGGCTCGAAGCTCGGTCACGGGTTCAAAACTTCAAGACACCTGTTACACTTCTTTGGGGAATTGCCGGGATTCTGGACGCCCTTCGGGAAAACAGGCCCGAGGAAGCTCGGGCTCGAGCTTGCCTCCTCCTTTGTCAAGGAGATCAGCTGTCCATCGACAAAGGCAGTTGGATTGTGGCCGCTCCTATGTCCCTCGAGGATCCACCTCCTTATGCTGTGTTAGCCACCCATACATTACCGACAGAGAGCGAGAGTCAAGTTACGAAGCTGGTGGATGCCAGGTGGGTCGATCTGTTCTTGCATCATCTGCACGAGATCGATCAGCTGACCGAGAAGAAGAAGAAGCTCGCATTTCGGAAGCCGGCTGCCGATCCTCCTACCGAGCATGTTGGGTCGCCGAAGCGGGGCCTGAAAGGAAAGGGGAGTGGCAAAGGATCTGGATCGGGCGGAGCTGGGAAGGAAGCCGGCAAGGAAGCCAGCAAAGAGAAGGAAGCCGCCTAGTAACCCCTGGAGGGCCCGCCGACTTCGAGGCTTGCAGCCATGGTTGGCCTGTGGATGGTCCTGTGCCTAGTCCTTCTATGCCAGCGCAGAGCCCTCCCTGTTGGGACGTGGCTCCTGCGATATTGGGTCGGGGACCTTCCCTCGCCGGCCGCGTTATGCAAGCTCCTCAGTCGTCTGGCCCTCCGCGAGGTGAGGGGCTGGCCGGTGCAGCAGCTGCTGCTCCTGAAGATGGAAGGCAAAGGCCGGAGGCGTCTGAACAGCGACAAGCGCCCGGAGCCTCAGCCTCTACGGTGAATGCTCGTCATCTTTGGAATTCATTGATTCGATGGGCCTTGCGATCACTTTGCGGGGCCTTCAAGAGTTTTTTACAGTCTTCTCTCAGACCTCCAGTTCATGATCGACAGTTTCATACCCCTCGGTCGTTGTGGCCGATTCCGCTGCCGCACCCTGAGATGGTTCAGGGCGCCGGGGAAGCTGATCCAGCCTCCTCACCATGGCAACGATTTTCAAACATTTTGATTTTGACGTTGGACTGGCTTCATCTTGGCAAACCCCCAGTGTGGCCTAAGACTTTCAATGCTCGTGCAACCCTGACGGAGGAGCAACGCAGTGTTTTGGCAAGGTTGAAACATTTGGCCGGCGAATGGCTTCGCTTTGAGGATGTTACCGCTGAATCTATGGGCCGGACCGCCGGCAAGGTGGAGAGCTTAGAGAAATTGGTTGCTAGCTTGGAGCGCTCTGCAGTTGCTTTCGTGCCTGCTACCGGGTCTGGTAAGGGACCTATGCGCGCTGGCTTGGACGGCTGTTCCCAGCCTTTGCACGTCGAGGAGATTCAAGCTGCAAAACCAGTAGAAGCGAGCCGCCTGGCCTTCAAAGGTCGCCCCGCATTTGACCCGGCGCAGACCCTTTGAAGTTTGCAATGCATCCTACTGAGCTGCTCGAGAAAGTTCCGGCTGTCAAGGTCCGAGGAAATCGAAAAGAGATCTTGGATCTGCTAGCTGCCCTTGACGCAACTCAGCGGCTTGCCCTGTTCACTCCTGAGGAGGTTCGCATGAGTCACCGAGCTGGGATGTTTGCGCTGATGAAAAATTTGAGTACGGACCGTCTCATTTTGGATTGTCGGCCAGCCAACGCTCTTGAACCAGGGTTGAACGATTGGACCCAGACTATGGCATCTTTGGTTCCTTTGCTTTCTTGGGTGGTCCCTCCCGGACACAAGGTAGTCGCTGCCGGCGAGGACCTCAAGGACTATTACTACTACTATATGATAACCCCCTCTCGTTCTCGACGAAATGCCCTCGCAATGACATTGTCCAGAGCGGAGGCCAAGAAGTTTGCAGGCGCCTTCCGACACGCCGAGCGCTCATCGCCTGTGTATGTGCCAGCTCTTGCGACGATGGCTATGGGAGACCTCAACGCAGTAGAGTTTGGTCAGCAGTCTCATGTACGCTTAGGCCTTATGCATGGTTTGCTCCGTATGACCGATTTGCTGACTATCCGTGGGAGGTTCCCTAGACAGAATTGGGCCGCGGGCTATGTCATTGATGATTTCGTCGTAGTTGAAGCTATCCCCCGAAACCCCCTTCGTGCTACACCTTTTTCTACTCAGGTGGCTGACGAGATGGCTCAGCTGTACGCTACAACGACAAGAAGCGGTTTCGCGCTGAGGAAAACCTCCAGTTCTGGGGGATCAGTATTGAGGGGACGACTGGTCTCATCCGGGCGCAGCTGGACCGAGTGATCCCGTTGTGCTTCCTTTCAGCTCGCATAGCCCGGGCAGGGGCTGCTTCGCGACACCTGCTCGAGGTCATCGCTGGCTCCTGGACTGCAATACTGCAAGCCCGCAAGCGAGGCATGTGTTTGCTTGAGACCATTTTTGCTGAGATTCAAGAACATGAGTACCACGAGGTTTTCATATGTTCTCCTCAACTCTGTGCAGAACTGTGGACTTTGACTGTTTTAGCCCCACTGTTTTGTTCGGATTTGCAAGCCCAAGTTTCGCCGGAATTTTACGTGGTCGATGCTTCTGAGAAAAGATAGCTGGGGCTTGCACGGTGCTCCCTGACGTGTTTGCTGCAGAGTTGAACCGGCACTCCATGACTAAAGCTGCCTGGTCGCGGCTGCTCTCTCCTTGGAAGAGTTACCAGCGCAGTCGCGATCTCCTGCTGCCTGAGGACGAAGTACCAACTGGCGAGGAGCCAGCGCAAGCTCATCCTTTGTGGAGGCAGCTCTGCCGGTCGTGCACCTTCGAACACAGTTTTTGTTTTCGTGTCAAACCGACGAAACATATCAACTTGAAGGAATTGCAAGCCATGGTGCATATGGAGGCACAACATGCTAGACAGTCCCCCTCATCACGCTGCAGCATCGGCACTGATTCACAGGTTGTGTTAGGCCCTGTGGTCAAAGGCAGGTCAGCATCGAGGTCCCTCAACTATATGTTGCAAAGGCATCTGCCTGCGGTCCTTTGTTACAATCTGTATTCTGGGCACCAATACATCCCTTCAGCAGACAACCCCTCTGACGACCCCACAAGGGATAGAGACCTCAGAGGCCCCTCAGAGGACATCCCAAATTGGCTGACAGCTGCATTTGTTGGGGACTTCACTGCCCTGGATGTCTTCCTCGCGCATCATGGAGCTGATGAGAGCGTTTTGGCCAGACTCCCTAGTTTTTGTGACGCTGATATTCCACCTGATTGGCTTGAATCTGGCCGGGCCCTCAGAAGAAAAATGCATTCAGCAAAAAGAGAAAACAGAGCTGAATCCAGCGGAGTCCACACTGCACCTCCGCCTGATCGGGAAGCATCTGGAGCAGGAAGCTCTATGTTATGGGGCGAGACTTCTTTTGGTGAACTGTCTCAACAAGCCAGTGCTGCGATCGCGGGATTGCCTCTGGAACATTTCTGTTTTCCCCGAGAGTGGCCCTTGACTGAACGCAGACAGTCCCTAAAGCGACAAGGGGTGCTGGATTTGTTTTCGGGCAGCTTGGGTTTGGCCAGAGCTATTGCCAGGCATCTCAAGTGTTGGGTGCTGGTGTATGATATAGTTTTGGATCCGAAGCAAGATCTCCTTTCTGAAAATGTACAACAGTTCATTGAGAGTTTGTTGCTCCTCAATTGTTTTCGAGCTCTAACTGCAGGTCCAGTTTGTGCTAGTTTTTCTCGAGCAGTTCGGCCACCCGTCCGATCGCGAGCCGCTCCTCGCGGGCTGCCTGAGCTGACACAGAATATGCAACGCAAAGTTGAGGACGGCAATGTTTTCTCTGCTTGGTTAGCTAAGTTGATCACTTTCGCACTCGATTTCCCCCTCTTCATCTTCATCGAGAACCCTTGGCTTTCTTTTCTTTGGGATCAACCGGAGTGGTTGCGGCTCAGTTCACGAGAGGACTGCGGGTTTTTTACGACAGATTTCTGCACTTGGGGCACACCGTGGAGGAAACGTACTCGGTTTTTGACCAACACAGAGCTGAAGCATATAAAGCTCCTTTGTTCTTGTGATCCTCCTGCACAGCACCTCCGCTTAGTTGGTTATTCATCAAAGCACCGGAAGCCTTGGACGAAAGTTGCTGAATCCTATCCAGCCCGCCTAAGTAATGCATTAGCTCTGTTTTTGCATAACAGTTTGTTGCCCATCGGACGCCGAAGACAGCTCGACATAGCCGCCTGTGCCAAGTGCAATTCTCGCATCGGTGAAGCTTCTTTGCCGGTGCCTCGCCCTCGGCGGGAACGACCTGATGTTGATTTGGAAACGGTTCAGTTGCTCAGTGCCCAGACCCTTCTGATCCAACAGAGAGTTCGCTCGATGTTCGCCTCTTGGTTGCAAACTGAGCTGACTGAGACGGCCTGGGAACAGATCGCTGAGAGACCTGAGCTGTGGGTGGTTTTTCTCCGCGCGTTTGGGCGATATCTTTTTGTGAGTTCACAGCCGATGTATTTATTTCGGCGTCTGGTTGTTTTCTATCAGCGCACCTATCCGACTTTTCCCGCGCCTTTGGTAGATGCCTGGGATTTGCTGTCTCGTTGGGAAAGGGTGCAACCGGTGGAACACAGAACTCCAATGCCAAAAGTGATTTTTGATGCCATGATTTGTTTGGGCTGGTTGTGGGGATGGCACAGATTTTGTGCCGTGTCGCTGCTGGCTTTTCATGGTAAGTTGCGAATCAGCGAACCAATTCGGGCCAGTCGCCAAGACCTCCTGCTTCCTGCAGAGACAGGCGCCGACATTCGCGCAGCTTTCATCAATATCACTAAGTCGAAAACTAGTCACAGAGGCCGCGGCATTGTTCAGCACACCAAGATCACAGATGAAATTGCGTTGTTAGCCATTGAAAGAATTTTTGGTCATCTGCAGCCGCAAGAAAGACTCTACCCGGCTACCCCCAGCACTTTTCGACGGCGCTGGGATCGACTGCTCTCCACTCTGGGAGTTTCTTCGACATGGAAGCTAACGCCTGGTACGTTACGAGCGGGCGGAGCCATTCACGCCTACCATCAAGGCTGCCCTGTGACCGAGATCCTCTGGCTGATGCGCCTGAAGCATTTGGTCACCCTGGAAAGTTATCTTCAGAGCACAGCAGCGATGAACATCATGCTCAAGCTGCCTGTTGATGTCCGGAACCGCATACAATCGTTCGCTCAGCTCCAACCACTTTTAGTTCGCCACTCTCAATGAGCAGCGCAAGCGCTGTGACTTGCAGACGCGCAGAAGCCTTTTAGCTGCTGTAAGGTCTGGCTCTGCTGTGGGTATGGATGCACCTCACGCCTTGCTGCCTGACTCCTTCAAAGCCTTGAGCATTGTTTTTCATGCAGCGACGACAGTCGTGAGGTCGATCTTCACGCAGACAGACCTTGTTGGAGAGAGAGAAATGTCCTGGGAATGCGGGGGTCGGGCAAGAATGTTCACCATTCTTTCTCGACCGCAGCTTGTTCGACGGCCCACCCGGGCCCCCCCTGGATGCACCTCACGCCTTGCTGCCTGACTCCTTCAAAGCCTTGAGCATTGTTTTTCACGCAGCGACGACAGTCGTGAGGTCGATTTCGTTCGGCGCCTTCACACAGACAGACCTTGCTGGAGAGAGAGAAATGTCCTGGGAATGCGGGGTTCGGGCAAGAATGTCAATTCTGAATGCCAGTAACAGGAACATCTTATCTACGTAGAATCCTGCCACGGTTTCTTCACGAATTTCGCTGCTCATGTACGTGGGTTCGCAAACGGGTTGTGTTGGCGTTGGCAAGTGTGCCCATGTGTGGCTGTGCCTTCATCTCTTTTGGGCGAGTTGAGGATGGGGAGGTTCATTTCTGTAAAGGAAACAGTTCGTTCGCGGCTTTAGACAGGGATTCTTGTTGCTTCCTTTTTGTGTTGAATGGTCGTGGATCAAAAACAAATACACAAAACGATAAAGTTGGCAAAGTCTTTTTATGGATGCCCATTTGACGTGTCACTGTGCTGCAGGAACAGTTGGCAGTTAACAATGCGGAGTTGAAACAAGCGAGGGCATGAGATGGCGGTGTTGCTTGCTGGCAGCGCTGAGCCGGGAGAGGCGCCAAAATTGCCGGTCCGCCTGCAACAGCAATGAATGACACATATGGCACCTCAACCTTGCTTGCCTTGTTGGCCGATCATGGTTACATTCTGAGTGTTTTGGCTGACGCTTTCAATGATTGATTTCACTTGGTCCATTCCCAAGGTCTTTTGGTTAATTTATCGATCCTCTCCAAGATTCTAGAAAAATTATTCAGCTGTTGGCGCTGGGAGTTTTGGTTTCAACATGGGCCAATGTGCTTTGGCGTGTTTGGCGCTGACAGCCTGGGCTCTCGACAACGGCGTTGGGCCGCGTGGCATAAATCAGATGTGCTGTTTTGTGAGAATGAACCCATTGATTGACTGGAATTGCGGCAGAAATCGCATCTACAGTTGAGGCACTTGCCGCCTCTGGGATACAGCACTTGGAATGTCCCTCACCAAGTGGGGAGGCTGATGGAGTTTGTCAGTGCATTCTGCAGAGCAATACGGCTAAGGACCTGTCATGTTCTGGTATGTCAGAAGAAGGTGTTCTTTCTGCGGCAGAATCATTGCGCAGAACTGGCCTTCAAAAGCGTGGCTATGTGCAGCCTTCTAGAATTTGAAAAGCTGGCTAGCACCACTTTTCTAATTGAAGAGCAGGAATGTATGCGTAATGTCATCGTTTTTTACATGCAAACTGCTCGATTCAGACATTTTTCAAGGTATGTGAACTTGGACGATTGTTGGCAAGATCCTTTGGGCCGAGATGCAACTGGTCGTCTACAAGCTGATCCACAAAGGTTTCCTTCTGGAATGCTGCTAGGCTCTGCTAAGCTGCGAAGATTTTGTTGTGATGGCAAGCTGGACTCACCTCACTCAATAGGACCATTTTTTCCTTCGCACGATAGTAGTTTGAAAAACCAAGGCACGGCTTGTCAAAGACTTTGCACGAGAGAGGCGCGCAAGTTTGGGGGTTTCTACAGACATGTTCCAGTGAACATGGATGTTCTTTGCTGGTGTTCTCAAAATGATGGAGGGCAGCGCTATGAAATGACATCAAAGCCCGCCGAGTTATGTGGGACCTGATTGCAGGGCTGTCTGAAACAGATTGCAGTAGAATTATGAAGCAGAGAAAAACAGGTGCGGACGCGTGGGCACTTTGCCTACCGTTCGTAAAAAGGATTGATCTCCAGTCAGGACGAGACGCGAGGAATCGTCCAGTAGATACAGTAGAAAGAGTAAAGCCCTCCAGTTGGGACAAAAACAGTGGAATCGTGCAGGTGCGTTTACAACTCTAGCCTGTGGCATTGGCTTCGCCGGCCATCCACCGACGATCATATGAAGTTCAATCAGGATGAAAGTGATGGGGTCCACAAAGAACCGGAACAGCTTCTGGTGGTTTTCTGGCCACGAGGAGAAGGAAGAATGGGTGAAGAAGTGAAGGTGGTGGAGATTCCGACGCATCATCGGACACTCCATTTGGCTCTGAGGGCACCAAATCCGTGGTCCGAACTCGTAGAAGTAAACCAGGTTCTGGCAAAAGCGTAGAAGGTCCCGAATCTACTGGTGCTGGCGGTCCAGCTGTATACGTAGTCGCGTCTCAGCGCTCACCGACGGTGTCGGATACGAATACCCAGAGCGCCCAAAACACAATAGGAAACTGTGGAGCGAGGCAATGGGTAATCGGCGACCTCCTAAGACTACGTTCTCCAAAGCCCTGTGCTGGCGTAGTGTTGTTGCTCGGGCTACGCGGTTCCCGTGGGCCACTTCCATCGAACATTTTCTTTTTCACCACGCTTGCAGTAAAAACGGTAAACAGCAAGAACGGTCCTTTTTAACCGTCTTTCCTGGGTCGTTGCCCTTTTTTAAATCACGCCACGGCAAAAACAGTACATCAACAAATCAATGCCTCTTTTTCCCCGTGGTAGTGGTAGTGGTAGTGCTAGTGGTAGTGGTAGTGGTAGTAGTCGTCGTAGTAGTAGTACTAGTGGTGGTGGTGGTGGTGGTAGCCGTAGCAGTAGCAGTAGCAGTAGCAGTAGCAGTAGCAGTAGCAGTAGCAGTAGTAGTAGCAGTAGCAGTAGCAGTAGCAGTAGCAGTAGCAGTAGCAGTAGCAGTAGGAGTAGTAGTAGTAGCAGTAGTGGTAGTGGTGGTAGTAGTAGTAGTAGTGGTAGTGGTAGTGGTAGTGGCAGTGGCAGTGGCAGTGGTAGTAGTAGTAGTAGTAGTTGTTGTTGTTGTCGTCGTTGTCGTCGTCGTTGTTGTGGTGGTGGTTGTCGTTGTTGTGGTTGTTGTTGTAGTATTAGTAGTTGTAGTAGTACTAGTATCAGTAGGACTAGTAGCGCTGGTACAAGCGGAGCGGGCCCCGCTCCCCTGCGCGAGCTTGGCCATGGTCCCAAGATGCACTGCAATCTTTCAAGGACTATGGCTGACATTATCTATTGAAAAAAACGCAAACTTTTGTGTGACTGCTGCAAGCTCAGGAGGAGTCAGGTGATTCCATCTCTTTCAAACAACGAGGGAAGACGCAGCGAAAAAGAGCTGGTGTGAATGTGGGATTCTTCGTTTTGGGAGACAACATTGGGTTTGCGTTGTCTCACTGATTCATCGGGCCAACATGATATTTATGGTGAAAGTCAACACTGCGAGGGCTCAGGGCTCTCAGGGTTCTGTCAGACCTTGTTCTATTTTCCGGGAATGGTTGAATGATGAAGTGGGAGAAGGGATGGTGGGAACAGGTGCTTTGATAGGGCACATGTTCTTGCGTGATCAAAGTAGGTTGTGACAGGTTGGTTTTGATTCAATTGTTTGATCCCCTTCCTTCCACGGAAACCCAAACAAATCCAATAGAAGTTATGGGGTTCTTACTTCAAATAACAATGAGTTGCCCGTGCACGCTTTCGAGACAGGTTGCTGGTGCTGGTGCTGGGCGCCGGTGCTGGTGCTGGTGCTAGCTGGCAGTGCGCGTGGTGGAGACAGGTTGCTGGTGCCGGTGCTGAAGGTGGGTGCCGGGTGCCGGGTGCCGGTGCTGGTGCTGGTGCTGTGAGCTCGCGTGGTGGAGACAGGTGGCGCCGGTGCTGGTGCCGGGTGCCGGGCGCTGGCGCTGGTGCTGTGAGCTGGCTGTGCTCGTGGTGGAGACAGGTTGCTGTTGCCGGTGCTGGTGGCGGGTGCTGGGCGCAGGCGCTGGTGCTGTGAGATGGCTGTGCACGCGCCCCAGCGGTTGCTGGTGCTGGCGCCGGGCGCCGGCGCTGGCCGGGTGCCTGTGCCGGTGATGGCGCTGTGAGCGGGCTGCGCGTGGTGGAGACAGGTTGCTGGCCCCGGTGCTGGCGCTGGGTGCCGGTTCTGGTGCTGTCAAGGGGTGTACTGTTTGCGCGCATACTTTTGAACGTACACTGTTCTATGCGCAACGTCAGGCTCTCAACCGACCATTGTTTCAGCGTGTTTCAGCCTGCTACACAAAATAGTCGTGCTGGATACTGCTTGACCTTGGGCAAGTGAAGCCTACGGGCTTTGCCGTTTGCGCGCGCTCTTTTGTGCGCATAAAAAGATCATACGGCCTTATCGTTCTACAGATCGTTGCTTCAAGCGTGCTACAATAGTGGCGCTGGATACTGCTTGGCCTTGGGCCAATGACACTTACGGGCTTTGCTGTTTGCGCGCATACTTATGTGCGCGTAAACTTATACGCGCGAGAGCACACTAGGGATAGCTATGGAATTCTTACTGCAAACTTAATAAGAATGAGCTGGCTGCACGCGCTTTCGAAGCGGTGTCAGTGCTGGTGCTGGCGTTGTGGTCCTGGTTGCTGGTGGCTGAGCGCGCGTTTAAGACGGGCGGCGGTGCTGGTCGGGTGCTGGCGCCGCCCCCGTGTCTGCTGGCAAAGCGCGCCGGTGCTGGTGTCAGCTGGTTGCGCGCGCTGTGGAGGGGCCGTAAGCTGGCTGTGCGCGCAGGCTGTGTACAGTCTTGTTCCAGCCAGTCCCATGTCAACAGGTCGTGAGATGCTGCCTAGCTATCCGGGTCTATGCTGGTTTAATTTAGTTTAGATTAAGTATTCTGGAGCACTTTTTGTATTGTTGTTCACCAGATAGCGTGAACTATTGGGGGTTCTTCCAGTATATGAAGAGCCGCGTGTGCGCGTTTGCGAGCTTGGGTGCTATTGCCGCTGCAGGGTCCCGCTGCTGTGTGCGTTGGGAGCTTATGTGCAGGGTGCTGCTGCTGTGTGCGCTTGGGAGTGCTGGCGCCGTTGCTGCCGTTTTCCTATCTGGAGTCCATGCTGGCGCAATTCCCTAGATAGCGTGAGCTATTGGGTTTCCTATTTCAAGTATAGGAAGAGCTGCGTGAGCTTGGGTTCTGGTGCCGCTGCACATTGCCGCTCCTGTGTGCGCTTGGGGCGGCTGCTGTGCGCTGGCGCCGTTGCTGCTGGTGCTGCCGGAAAAGTCTTTTGCTATCTGGGGTCTATGCTGGCGTAATTTTAGATCGCGCACGGTAAACATGGTAAACGCGATATTCTTTACAATTTTTCTCGGGTCGGTCGTCGGTCGCCCTCTTTCTTTTCCACACTCGTGGTAAAAGCGACAAACATCGAACATGTTCTTTTTCCACAAACAGTTTACGCATTTTGGTTTGTGCGTGCCTTGAAACCTTTTCGCTCGCTCCTTTCGTTCGTAGTTTGCCGGGTAGTGTCTCACTGTGGTCAGGCCTTAGTCCGGGCCTGCGATCGTGCAGCTTGAGGAGGAAAAGCCGTTTAACTTTTAAGTGTGTCCGCCTTGTGTGGACTGCTCTGTCCGCCGCGCAGTGCCGACCTCTGGCTTGCAATCCTTTAAATTTGTTGCCAGATAGCGAGAGCTTTTGGGGTTCTTGCTTCCAGTCTAGGAAGTGTGCGCTTTGGAGCTTGGGTGCTGGCGCCGCCAGGGTGCCGCTGCCAGATTGTTTGATTTGAGCTTGGATGCTGGTGCAGGTGGTGCTGCTGGATGTATATGGCGACCTCTGCAGCGAGGCAGGGTGCTGCTGCCAGATGCATGCTGCTGCGCTGTCCGGCGATGGGAGCGTGCATCTGGAAGTGTGTGCTTTGGAGCCTGTGGTGCGCATGCAGCATGCCTATGATGTGTGCTTTGGAGCAAGTGCTGGTGCTGCTGCAGGGGTGCACTGGGGCCGCTGCAAACTGCATGTAGCCGCAATGCTTACCTTCTGGTTGTAGATGGGGACGAGACAACGCTGTTACTGCCCATCCAACGAACAGGGTATCATTTGGTGCTGACGCAGTGAAGACGCAAGGTGCCGCTGCCAGACGCGCCCGGCCATGTTCCCTGTCGCGCCCGGTGCCACTGCAGTGCGCTGCCCGCTGCAGGGTGTTGCTGCAAGGCGTTGCTGCCAAATGTTGGTGGAAGTGTGTGCTTTGGAAGTTGTGCTGGCGCGGCTGTTGGGTTATGCTGCCAGACATGTATGGCCGTGTGCTGGCGCTGCTATCAAGTCCAGCGCAATGCTAGGTGTTTGTGTGTGCGTCACCACCCAACGAAGCTCCTCACATGATCCTAGGATATCACCAGGGACACCTGATGACGTACCTGCATCGTGATACCACCCCAATTCTCCTTCCGGTCTTTTTTGCTTCCATGGTGGTTTCCACGACGCTCCCCTAAACCTTTTGTAGGACACTCTTGCGGGGCAACTTTTCTTGGACACTCTTGTGGGACATTCTTGCGGGACGCTCTGGCACTCTTGTAGGACATTCTTGTGGGGGCACTCTTGTTTGTCACTCTTGTGTGGGGCACTCTTGTAGGACGCTCGCGAAACAGTCTTGTAGCATGTCACTCTTGTGGGACAGTCACGCTCTGTGACACTCTTGTAGGACACTCTTGTAGGACGCTCTTGTGGGCCGGGGACACTCTTGTGGGGCACTCTTCTAGAACACTCTTGTAGGGCACTCTTGTAGGACACTCGTGTGGGTCACAGCCACATCCAACACCCCCAAACCACCACCCTCCAAACGCCAATCGCAAAATGACTACGCAGAAAACTGCGGATCTCACCAAACGCTGTACCTGCGCAGTGAATTCATCCTCCCAAATCCAACATCCCACGGTATTTGCGACGAATCTGACGATTACCCTCCATCAAAAAGCCTCTCCAAAAGCTTCGCCCAATGGGGACAAATTAGCGACGACGCGACGCCCCGAGACGACGACAAAAAGCACGCGAGGCGAACACAGTCCAACCCCCACACCCCCATTATAAACGAGAACCCTTCGCTACGCATTCGGGAAAAAACCAAACACACATGCGTGAAGACGGGCAGCCTACTACCGAAAGGACAGGCAGACTTAACAAAGACACACAGGATAGGACACGACCCAAAGCGGACCAGTATCCCGGATATGGGGATACAGTCCCTGCCGTGGCGTTTTGCAACTTCGGTGCGGTTACCTCGCAAAAAGGTTTTGCGTGACGGTGAACCAACTTTGCAACCGCCGGCGCTGATCTGGCAATTGGGCGCGCAGGAATTGCAAAGAAGATGCGTTGTTTTTGGCATTGTGAACTTTACGTCAAACCTGCAAATTTGCAAGTAACTCGGGGAGCAACAGCTGGTCAGCATCCCTGTGCAGCCCACAAGTTCCGAACTGGCTAGCTGCCAGTCCCATGTAGTTTTTCTAGTGAAACCTTTTAATTGCGCAAATCCTTTTGACGTAGTTTAGGCAGCATATTTGGTTTTGGGTTGTTTGTCGAGACTTGCCCCATTGTACACGCGCGCGCGAGGCTTCAAATTTGGAGTTTATACCGATCGGGGGCGCAGAACATGCGCTGGTCGTGAAGGCAGCCAAGGCGGATTTGAGGATGAATCGCTTTTTGTCAGGTGGATTTCCTGATTCTCTCAGGTTTCGAAACCTTGGACGCACAAACTTTCGCTGAGTGGGGATCCTTGGATGCAGTTTATCACGATGTGTTTTTCTATGCTCTGGCAGTGCACCCGTGCTTGCTGGAGGAGTTGACTTTGTGAAGGAGGACTGGTAGCTTTGCTCATGCTGCAAGTGTGCGAGGCTGTAGCACGATTGCGCATTGGCAGTGAGGCTTGTCAAATTGTGAAGCCGCCGGAATGCATCCGGGGCAACAAACAACTCGTCGCGTTCGGAAATTGAAGCATTAGCTCCGTGCACCTCACCTTTGAACTTTGCTCCAAAGTTTTGTTTGATATATATATATAAATATGAGGATTGGACAGAATCTATGGTTTGGCTTTCTTTAACCGTGAAGGGTAGAGGATGCCACCATGACCATCCCAAGAGGTTGCCCTAAACCAGAGATTTCGTCCATTACTCATATTTACTTAATGCTTGACTGGTGGAAAACGCAGCCAAACAAGGTCATCACTGATACTGCTTTTGTTGAAATCGCAAGCCGACAGCAAACTTCTTTTAAGCAGGATTTGATTCATATTTCTTGGGCCAGGACAACTGCCGCAGTTTGTCTGGTCCGAATAACAAGTCGGAGCTGTTCGCGCAGTTTGCTCTATTTCGAGATGCTTTAAATAAGACTGGCACGCCCATATTCTTTTCCGCACTTTGGTTGCGTGTACTCTTTGCTTTGATTGGTGAGAGCCTTTTAGTATTAGCAAAGCGTAGCAGTTCTGACGGTGTTCGGCCTGGCAGTGGGTTTGCGGCATGGGCTCCATTTTTCTAAGGTATGCGGAGGCGGAGATCAATTGCCGTTTTCAAATTTAACGTGAGGATCTGAGATCATTCTGATCAACAGCGGGAAATATCAGATTAGGTTATTTAGCTGGAGGTACTATGCTAGTGATGAACGAGGTGGCAAAAAGCTGGCAAATTCATGGCGAATTACCAGCGATGTCACTGGATCATGGACTCTCAGGCCTCAACGTTTTGACATGTTTCTAGGTGTTCTGGAACCTTGGTGCCAGGTTCGCCTATAAGGTGGATGCAAGCTTGAGAGAATATGCAGGGCCAGGCAAGTGCTGCAGACATTGGTTATGGTAGTCCTGGAATAGATAGAGTCATATATGTAGAAGCTTTCAGAAGCTTGTTGCTTGACGGGGATTCACTGTCCTATGTATTCAGGGATCACTGCAATTGATGCTGCAAGTCAAGAGGTGGAAGTTCCCTTTATACAAGCTGCAAAAGGGAGGCTTAACACTGATACTTTCATCCATATGCAGCATGTTTTTTGATCTTGGTTTCTTTCTTGGGCTGCGTTTAGCGGAGTCTAGCGTGCCAAAGCCCTGTGTGAGGTGGGTTCAATGACCCGGACATGTTGCTGGGCCCTGAGCCATTCGACGAATAGTTTCTAGGCCCAGTATACCCTATCAATTGGGCATCTCCACCAATCCTGTCAATTGTATCAGTCTATATTTTCTGGGTATATATATATATACACGTAAATCCGTTGTGCCGGGACGAGCAGGTTGGCCGGCCGATTGTCCACCCTGCATCTTCGCGCGTAACACGTTTGCTTCCGAGGCTTGGGTCTTCACCAGGTGCAGCCAGACGGCTTGGACCTCATCAGAGCCGAACACAGTGACTCGGACAACTTGGTGGGATCGGCGAGGCTTAGTTTCTCCTGAAGCTTACGAAGCAAGATCGGTCTGTTGGATATGATATGCAGTGTTCATACCGCTAGTTTCACATTGCTTTTGCATGCTTTTGCGCATTTAGAGACCGCAGTCAGGGAGTGCTTGGCCGCGGATTGCACGTGGTAACAAGAAAAGCTAGAGGACATTGTCGGTTTTGCGATAGTAACTATTATAAATACAATAATTCGAAAGATAAGCATTCCAGATCCATGCAAGGATGACACGCACAAATCATGTGCACAACTGAAGGCCCTTTCACGTGGTTCAAAAGAGCTCTCACATGGTAGCGGAGCTGTGAAAGGCATTTCATAGATCTGCCTGGAGCTCCGGAGAGCCTTTGGGGAGCGTGACCCTACTCCCAAGTGCGGGCCCCCGTTCCTCTTGAGCGTCGTGCCACCATCAACTGGTGCTTGCAGTTGCTCGCAATCTCAGCTTGAGACCACCTGGAGAAGCTGAGTGGAGATCATCCTCGATTACCAGATTGCCTTTTTCGAGGTGGATTTTAAGGTGCCTGAGGTTGACATAGCGGACCTTCATCATTGAGCCCAAGGCAGTTTTTGACCCCTTTAACAGGCACGGTTGGGCAGTGGGAGAAGAAGGTATGGATGGGTCAGGAGTTTTGCCTGGAGTGGAGGAACTGACCCAAGCGCTAATTGCCACTGCAACAGCGGCGACGCAGGCCATCCAAGCAGCTTCAGGTGCCACTGGAGCAGGGACATCATCCTCGACAGGTGAATCCAGCGGATTAGTCAAGAAGGACCTGGCAAGACTGATCCCTTGTCCAGGTACCTTTCACCCCGTGGACAGGGAGCAGGGGATCCTCCAATGGCGAGATTGATTTTGGAGCCTCAAGCAGTATTTGGTGGTAGTGGATAGCTCCTTCCAAGAGGAACTGGCCAAGATCGAGGAGAAGAGCGGAGATGAGGTCGAATGGGAGTTCCGCAATGAGAAAGAGCAGGAGCGGGCCAGGTTCCTATACAGTTTGGTGGGGAGCTTGGTACAGGGGACGCTGGTGGGCTTGGTCAAGAACGTATCCAACTACAAAGGATTCGAAGCCCTACGGCAGATGTTGTTGAATTGCCAGCCACAGGCCAGCAACAGGACTATGAACTTGAATATGAAGTTGTCCATTCTACCCCAACTGCTGAAGTTAGAGGAGCACTTCACTCAGTACGAGCGCCTTGGAGGAAAGGGCCATCTGATATGCGTGCTGCAGTGCTCCTGAAGGCTATTTCAGGACCCCTCAAGGTGCACCTCAACATCACGTTGAACGAGGGCAGTTCATACAGCAAGATTCGTGAAGCGGCGCTGGCCTACGATACAGCGAATACCAAGTGGAATGAATCAGCAGCACAGAGCTTCTCAAGTTCGAGCCCAATGCAAACTACTCCGCAAGATGCTGGTGGACTGGCCCCTATGGAGGTGGACCGTTTGCAAAAGGGGAAGGACAAAGGCAAAGGGAAGACGAAAGACAAGAAAGGGGCAAAAGGAAAAGGAAAAGAAGATAAGGGCAAGTCGAAAGGGAAAAAAGGAAAGTTTCAGAGTGGGCCCAAAGGAGAAGGGAAAGGAAAGGGTGGCAAAGAGAAGGGGCAAGAGCGCCAATGAAGTCTGTTGGACATGCGGCCGTCCTGGACATCTTGCCAAGGATTGCTGGCTAGCGAGGCAAGTGGAAGCCCCAGCATCCACTATCCCTTCGAGTCCGCCCACAGTTTCACCGAGCACAGCGGCATCGATTCAGCCAAGTGAGACGACTTTGAAGGCTGCTCGACGGGTTTCACAACCAGTGATCTTCGATCTGAGACAGTATGAGGAAGACCGTGGGGTCAATTCGAGCGCTGCAGAAGATGAACTTCGAGAAGAAGAAGGCGCCAGTGGAGTTCTACAACATTGCCACCGACGACGAGGAGGACAATGAGAACATCCTGAATGTGAATGCAGTCCATGAAGTACCGCCGGAGGACTATGCCCATGGTGAGAGTGGGAATGGAGAAGACAACGAGGAGGTGACGGCGTCAATCATTGTCGATTCAGGAGCTGATGCCTCCATCTTTTGAGGCTATATACCCTCAAGCAAGGGAAGAGAGCTCATGGTATCTCACCATCTCTCCAGGATGCTCAAGGCAGGGCAATCAGAACCTACGGGCACAGAGATGTGGACATCGAGCTCAAGATGACAGGAGGGTGGTGCTTAGAGAAAGCCCCCATCTCCTACGTTCAGGATGGTCGCTCAGTGGGGAGAACCAATGCCTGGTCAATGGAGAGGTGTATGTACCTCTTAGCTTTCAGAACCAAAGCCTCGTGATCCATGGTCAAATCAGGAGTGTGGCCCTGTGGCAAGCTTTGTGAGAACGCTGAAGGTCACTAGAGCCTGAAGAAAGCGGCCCAGGACCAAGTGGGATGGAAGAGGCATGGAGATCGGTGGATTGGACTACATCGTGGACAGTGCTTTTCAAAGCCCTCAGTTCATCCCTGACGTGAGGGAGCAACGAGATGGAATGACCCGATCAACGTTGTCCAGAAAGGAGATCAATGGCAACTTGTGTGAGTTGGTCGACAGCATGGAAGACCAAGAGGGTGAGATCGAGGAGTTGAGGGACCAGTTCATGGCCAAAATCATGACGTTTGTGGCGCCCTCTGCAGCCTCACAGGCGCCAGAAGACCTAGGGTTTGAGGTCGAGGGCTTTGACTACGAGGCTTCAAAGAGGATGAGTGCCAACGTGGAGGACTACGCCGTCCCCATTGCCGATGATGAGGGAGAAATGGAGGTTGAAGGCAGAGAGAGATCGCGGCCCACGACCTACCTGGAGGAGCCTCTTTGGGCGACCAAGCAGTACATGTGGAAATTGGAGTAGCGCTTCCAGAGAAGTTCCAGGTCAATGGAGTTGAGCTCACGCTGGACAGCCCATTGCAAGCGAAAGTGTTTTGGACGCGTGGTTGAGCGTCAAGCCCAACTACCTCGAGAGCAGGGGCTGCCGAGGAGCCGAGCGAAGAGGAGAACGAGAAAACACTCCTTGACTCATGTGCCATATGGTGTATGGTGTCCATCTTGCATCAAGCACCCGGCATAGCAGGACCAACACCGCCGAAGGTCTGGGAGGTCAAGGGAAGCTGGACGGTGATTTCCCTCAACTTTGCATACGCCAATGCTGGAGGGATTGGACCATTGCAAGCACCTGAGGAAGGAGGAGCGCTATGGATGGTAGCAGTGTGCTCAGAGACCGGATACTTGTTGGGACTTCCCCTCAAATCAAAGGAACCTCGTCGCCCATGAGCTTCTTGCCTTCGCCCAGATGCTGGGCCACGAGAAGGTGACCCACTATGCCGACAACAAGCCCACAGCACGACGTGTGTTGAAGTTGCTGGTGCGGGCAAGGAACTCCTTTGGTCAAGACCCATATGCGCGCCACCAAGCTCTAGGACTCAGCAGGGAATGCATTAGCGGAGAACGCCGTCCAGCGCATTCGAGGAGTTGCAGCCAGTTTGATGGAAGAGATTGTGGAGCAGACTGGACTTCGATTCAGCGCACAACACCCATTGTGGAGCAGCTGGCGTTGCAGGCATGCGGCGTGGGTGTTGAACCGTTTCCAGGCCGCGCAGGGCGCTACAAGTTGTATGGAAGACCCTATGAGGGAAAGGTGTGCAGGTATGGTGAAGTTGTCTTCGCCTACGTTCCAGCCAAAGCAGGCTACAAGGCTGACCCAAGAAAATCGGCGTTTGCCTTGGGAAAAGTGAGGCCTTGGACTGCTGGATCATTGGAGATGGTATGTTCGATCAGACGTGTTGACCAGTCATGGAAGCGCTACCTCAGCTGCTTCAAGTCCTTCAGTGCCTACAGCTGGGAGTATTATCAGACCAACTTCGGAGGATGAATTGTACCCTCGAAGAGATTGGCAACCTTGGTGGAATGACCGGCTGCTCAGACGTCAGCTTTGGCTGAGACGGATCGGGAGGCCTATGAGGTGATCACCTTTGCGAGGTCCTACGCCGGGAAGATTGAGGAGAAGAAGGAACGAGGAGGAGATTCATGAACAGGGTGACAACCTGGACGAAGAAGACAAGAGAATTCGGGAGGATAAGAAAGTCGGCTTCAGTGATAAGTGACCCCGCATTGAAGGAGGTGATCCCAATATCAGCATCTGCCCCCGGTGATTGACGAAGGCCACAATCAAGCAGGACCTTCGAGTTTGAGTATAGAATCGAATCTACACCAAGGCCTACAGCCCAGAAGAACGTGCAGGTCGAAGGAAGTCCTGAGCCAGAAGCGAAGAAACTCAAGCCGACAGTGGAGAAGCAAAGTTCATGGACTGGAGGTGGCAAGGCCAGACCCAAAGAGAGTTCGACAAGGAGCTGAAGAACACGTGGAACGAAGAATTTCAGCTACACAAGTGGGCGACAGCGTGTTCTCACACCATTTGGGATGATGAGCAAATTGAGTGGGGCATCGAACCGGAAGAGGAGGAAGAGCCATCTTCGACAGGAGGAGATCTTCCAGAAGAGCTGTGGCGCATCGAGCCCCACCTGATCCACCCAAATGGATTGATGACTTGGCAGACTCTGTAGAGGAGAAGAGACTTCAGGATATGGGAGTACTCCAAGCTACGAGTGGACTCCTACCTGGGCACAAGACATTGACTACGAGGTTTGTCCATGATTGGAGGGCAAAGCCTCGACCAGGACATGACCAGAAGCAGTGGCTCAGGAGGTCGAGAATGATGGCCCGGGAGTATGCGCTAGAACGAGACGATGAAGTACACTCACCAGCAACTGGCGGACAAACATTGCGGTTTCTTCCGCTCATGACTCATGAAGAAGCAAGAGGAAGAGATTGGAGGTGAGAAGTTTTGGCTGGGCAGCCTAGATGTGAAGGATGCCTTTCTCCAGGTGGATCAGGCAACCTCCAATGGACATTTTGAGGCGCTGAAGAACCTTCCTGGACAGCGCGTCGGCGCTGAGGCACGGTATGAGTGCATCACTTCATGGTTGGAGGGGAACGGCTTTGTGTTTGGCAAGGAGAGCCCGTGCCTGGGAAGACGCAATGATGATATGATGCTGCTGATTCACGTTGATGACATTATGTTCGTGGGTAAGGAGAGCTATGTGAAGGAGGTATTCCTACCTGCAATCCAGTCAAGGTTTGAGATTTCGCAGCAGCATATTGAGAAGGTGGATGACCAGATTCAATTCCTGCGGAGGACCTGCAAATTGGTCTCCTGGAGTATGCCTTCGAGTTCGCCCAGGAAAGTATGCCGACAACAGAGCCAGCAGCTCCTATGTGGTCAAGAGATGCTGGAACCGGATGGCTACACCCTTGGGTATAGAGCTTGCTGGGCTATATCGTTCTTTGGTTGGGTGCGGAATCTACTCGAGCCAGGTAAATGAGGCAGGCCATGGACTGGTGACGCGTGGTGCTACCTCAAGATGGCTTGAGACCTTCTCAGATGTCGACAGCGACTGGTCAGGATCAAAGAGCCATCGACGCTCGACAAGTGCAGCCATACACATGGTGAACGGCGCGGTGATCTTCTCAAGTTCAAGAGGGCACAAGTCGGTGAGCTTAAGTTCAGCTGACTCAATGCCCTGGCGGGGGCAGGGGCTGATGGCACTCACCTCGAGATGTCTCGTATCACGGTTGGGGAAAACGTTGACAACTCAGCAGCTTTGCCTCTACGACCGGGACGCCTTCGACGCGTTGCAGGCCTGGTTTCCCAATGTGAGCTGAAGGTGAAATCGGTTGGCGCCGCCTACAATGTCTCAGACTTGTGGAACCAAGCCATTGAGCAAGGCACGGATCCATCTGATCCTCTACTGGTGCAATGCCCACAACAAAGACCGCCAAAGGCTGGGACAGGAGGAGCGCAATAGAGTTGAAGAGGGAGTTGTCAGCAAGGGAAAGATTGCCCGATTGGCCAAACTACTCAACAGGATCTTACTTCTAGAGGGCATTCTGGTGCTGATGGTATTGTTCCTAGCCTGCGCAGTCTATATGCTCTGGAAGAGCTTGAGAGAAGTGAAGGAAGAGCTAAAGGAGCTTGTGGAAGACTGCGAAACAGATGGAATGATGCAATTGAGTACGAGCTGAAGGAGCTGACAAGGAATTAGGAAGCTTGGCAAGAAGCCCTGAAGACAGTGGGTAGCTATGCCCGCAAGATTCACCGAGGACTCGTGAAGAATGATAGCTTTGTGGATGAGACCGAGATTGAAGAGGAAGAGTGGAAGCACTGGGACTTCTTGCAGAAATCCAACAGGAACTGGTAAGCCCGTATAATGCTAAACATATCAAAATGAAAATTGGTGCTTACAGGCTGTAAAATTGGTGCATTTCCTGGTGTGTGGTCTGGTGTGTGGCAATGTTTGTCAATTGTGTATGGTTTTATATTTATCAAGGTCAACAGAAAAAGTTGTGCAAACCTGGGTGTTGAGACGAATGTGGATTCATTGAATGGTCAAAGGGCGGTGCTAAACCTGGTGTTGAAATGGATGTTGATGAATTGAATGGTCAAAAGATTGCGCAAAAACTGGTGTTGAAACAGAAGGGGCTTCATTGCATGGTCCAAGCAGGTGTAAAATTTAGTGTCGATAGCGTCGAAACAACCGTGGAGTCCCAAATCAAAGCACCAGAGATGAAATACAAGATAAATACTAGATCAGCGCTTTGAGATGCGCTGTGCTTTTTCCAGATTTGCAGTGAATGCTTGGACCGCTGCCTGGCAGGCTTGTCTTCATACACGCGCAGAAGATTTAAAGTCAAAGTCAAATGATGTATTCCCACATGCGTGTGCCGGACAAATGTTCCGGTTTTAGTGATATGATATGATATGTATGATAAGATACGTTGTACTGTGTACGGTACCAGAAAAATCTTGCCCGAACTTGGCATTAGCAAAGCCTTCCATGTTGGCAAATTTATATCGGCGGCAGTGTCATGATCGATCCAGAAGCCCCAGCAGCTCTCGAAGAGGTCGGGAAATAGGTCGGGAAGAGGTCGGGAAGAGGTCGGGAAGAGGTCGGGAAGAGGTTGGGAAGAGGTCGGGAAGAGGTCGGGGACACATTTTGCAAGAAGTCCCTCTCCATAATGCTAAGACACGTGGACAAGTAATTAAACCGAATTAAAAAATACAAATTTCAATAAATTGATCTAATTATGGTGTTCAATATTTGTCCACGTGTCTTAGCATTCTGGAGAGGGACTTCTTGCAAAATGTGTCCCCGACCTCTTCCCGACCTCTTCCCCTTTTTGAAACCTGACAGGGTTGATTCGGCGATAATTGGCGATCGGTGATGGTGGCGTGGTGCCTCTCCTGTCTATTCACCCGTGAGTGGCAATTTCCTTCTTGAGTTGGCCAGGGGTGGGGCCATGAAGCGAGAAATGTGGGTATAGCATTAGCATCGAAACATAGGTCCATAGGCCATGGCCTTAGCTGGCGCTAGATTCAATGTCAATAATTCAATTAATATTTAAACTCTGCTGTGCAGGGAGAGGAGGGCAGGAGGGGAGAGGAGGAGGGGGTGAGAGGGGGGGGATATAATTCATGAACAACAACAATCATGACTTGGTACGGGCGTAACAGCGTTAACGCTAGAAAATCAAAAACCTATGAATTCTATGTCGCGGGGTGTGGCCCGCGTGGACCATGGCTTGGCAATACAAGAAGGTTATTTACAAAAACGACGTTTTTGTAAATAACAGTTTTTGTCAATAACCGTGTGGATGGCTGTGATGGCTGTGGATGCCTTTGATGGCTCCCGCCCCGCTCCCGCCCCACTCCCGCCCCACTCCCGCCCCAGTCCCGCCCCACTCCCGCCCCACTCCAAGGGCTGGAAAACCCAAAGTAGTATGTGAACATGTGTTCCTGGATTTCTAAAACATAAATCCAGGTCAAGGGTCTGAAGATTTCTGAGACTGTTTTTTGATTGCATGGATCGCCATTGAATAGTTGAACACAAGTTGTTCAGCGATCTGAGATCTGCTTACGCATGAATTCCTTGCACCAACATAGTCAAGGTTTGAACCCAGTCTTGCACCACCCCCGACACCTCGTCGTGCACTGGAAAACCTCCACGTGATTAGCGTAACAAGGGTTTACCGAAACAGGAAGTACAATCTGCAGAAGTTGAAGGCCCAGGCGGAGGATCATTTGATCAGGAAGTGCGTCGAAGAATACGATGAGGAGACCGTGGATTTGGCAGACGCCTTTTGCCTGGTGAGCAACTAGTTGAAGGTGAGTTGGCGTCCGCGTTGGTACAACCCGAGTCTGGAGAGATTGTCCAGATTCCGATGGAGCATCTACAACCACGAGAGCCAGAAAGTCACCCAGAGGATGATGATGAAGTGAGAGCTGAGCGACAAGCTGAGCGGAAAAGAAAGCGTGAAGAGGAGATCGAAAAGATCAAGAAGATGAAAATGAAAGATCTTGGAGACCTTGCAGCTGGGCGGACGGTTATCATGAGTCCCTGGACAGCCCAGCACTGAAATTCGAGTGGCTCCATGAGCAAATGCTCAGGAAGTGAAGGAGGAGTGCGAAAGATAAGCGTTCCAGATCCACGCAAGGATGACACGCGCAAATCATGCGCGCAACTGAAGGCCCTTTCACGTGGTTCAAAAGAGCTCTCACAAATATCTTTCTGCCGGTCAGTCATGAGATGTCACGCGGGTGTTGCTCTGGGAGGCAGTCTCCTGTCTTGTCACCTTTTCTTCCTTTTTGTCTCCATGTTGCAAAAATCGAGTTGGGAATGCTTCTTTGTTGTCCCACTTGTTTGGGTTTCTGATCTAGACATATTGGGCTCCAGAGCGAAGTGACGGTGGTGATGTTGGTGGTGACGGTGGCGGTGGTGATGGTGGATGGGTGGCGACGATGGCGGCGATGATGGTAGTGATGGTGGTGGGTGCCTTGATGGAAACTTGAAAGCTCCAGATTCCACAGTCGGTTGTAAAAGGACGCGAATAGAAGTTTGACTGCGGAATAAGTAAGTGACCGCCCGCCAGGTTCAGTTTGTGGGCCATACTTATGGCACCAATGCTTCTGGGCGCAGATGTGCGCCAACTCACGCCGTTTGACCTGGAACTTCGGCTGATATGGAGCTGGTTTGCGCAAAAAGAAAAGGGGGAGAGGGAGGGAGAGAGAGAGAGAGAGAGCGAGAGAGAGTTTGACCGTGTTGGGCAACAAACCTTGGGAACTTGAAGGAAACCTATTCTAACGAGGAGGTGCTCAAGGCGAGGGATGTCTGCTACATTGCTACGTGGCTTTCAGGTTTCAACAAAGTAAGCTTGGAGTTCCACGGGTGATGTTGTCTTGGCAAGCTTCGAGGTGAGCCAAGACTCCTTCGCCCAACAGGGCAGTTTGCTCACTGTGAAAGGCTTGGCCACACTTTTGTTGGTAGCTTTGGCAAGTTACCAGTCCTGCAATCTTCTTAATTTCGTTTCTTGGCAGGTTCAACTTCTCTGTGGGGCCGGCCACTGGTGGATGGTGGGCAACTCATCACTTGAAGGACAAGACAAGAATTATCGCAAGCGAATATCCCGAAGGTGCGTGGGCAGTCCTTTTTCTAAATGAAGGATGGTTCTGGAAGCGCAAGGTGGGATCCCTGGAGGAAATAGTGGTTAGCCGTTTTAACGGTTTTCTTGCCTTGACCTTGCGAGGTCACTTGCTCAAAACGTTGCTGGTCAAAGATGTCTTTCAAGAGGAGTGTGTTCACGTGAAGACGCCTACAAAAACCATGAGCCACATGTTTGTCGACTCTCTGAGAGCCAGATTTGGCAGGAACAGCACTGTTCATCTTCAAGATCTTTGGTCGCAATGGCTTCCACATTCTGACATTGGCGTTGGACAGGCGTCGCTGCAACGATGAAATCAATGAGATCGAAACCACTTTGCTAGGATAGGCCAGACGCAACACATGTTTCAATAATATGAGCGAGAGAGAGAGAGAGATAAGTAGATAGAAAGGTAGATAGATAGGTAGATAGATGGATAGATAGATGGCGTGTTTGCTAGCTACATTGAATATTTGCGGTCTTACGCCTGAGCGGGATTGGCAGGCAAGCAGGGCGGCGCAGGCGTCAGGCGCTGGCCTTGTAGGGCAGGTGGCGCAGACCTTGCAGGGCGCAGACGGCGTAGGCAGGACTCGGCGGGGGCCCGAAATAACAAGGTGCAGGTTCTGGGGCGTGGGACGCACAAAACGCGGGCTACGTTTGCCTTTTTCGCGGCTGTGCTGGGGCTATGTTGACCCATCTTGCTGGCCCATGTTGCGGCTATGCTCATCCATCTTGGAGCTATGCTGAGGCTATATTGAAAGAAGTATGCGCCCACGCTCTCCTTAGTGGCCCTGCGAGTATCCATCTTGGATTGTTTTTAAAGCTGCATCCATCGACGCTGTCCCCAGTGGCCTGCGAGTTGCCAGTGCCGTGTAGAGAACGCTCTCCCCAGTGGCCTCCAAGATTCCAGTGCCTCCGATAGCATGTCCCGCGCTGCGTCGGCGGCTGTGAGCGGACCCTTCCCCTGACCCGGCCCGATTTAGGGGCTAGACGCGCCGTCGTCGTCGGAGGCTATGCCGTCCTATCTTGAAATCAGGACCGCTGGCAGCGCCATTAATTATCAGATTTGTGGGGCTACTGTGAGAGATGTAAAGTATGTAGATGGTCAAAAGGGGTGTATACAGTATATAATGGGGGATCCTGGAACACCCAGATGAAGTCTATTGTACCTTCTGGCAGATGATTTGACAGGGCAGCCCACCATGCAGGTTGGTTGCGTGTCTGCGGCTCCAGCGGCAACGCGACGAAGCGTGGAGGGTGACGTAGTGTCGTAGGAAACGCGGGAAATGTGATGTTCGGAGCTGGGAATCCGCTTGGGTTGGGGTTGGGTTTCCTTGCGCTGTGACGTCCCCCACCGCTCACCGGAGTCCCTCGACAGGAACACGCCGGCCCCGCTCCGCTCCGCTCACGCCCATGTTCATCGGCCTAGACCGGAGCCGGCGGATTTTATGCGCGTTCCAAGAACCCAAACAGCACTTTTGGCAGGACTTGGTCTTTGAGGCAGGGCCACTTAAAACTTCTCAAACATTTCAAATCGCTTCTTTCCAGCAAGTCGCTCCAGCGAAGAGGTGGAAGCTGGCAGGAGCCGACCCTTGTCTAAAGGAGTGGAAGTCGAAGTGAGTACTTTCCAACCATTCATGGCCTTTGGAGTTTCAGTTACCTTTCCGCTTTCTGAGGCATGCTGAGAGTGACGCAGCTGGCGCCAGTCATAGTGTGAAGGTGGCGCAGCGCAGAATGTTGCCACCTCAGGATGGACTAGTTGCAATCCACGCGGGCGCGAATCTTGAGTAAGTTGGAGTCGCAATGTACGCTGCGCTGCTAAAGGTTGTGTGGAGTCCGAAGGCAGGAAGACGTTTTGACAGATTGCGCGCTGGGGAGTAGTTGCAAGTAACACTGTAAACGTGGCGAGAGAAGGGCTTGATTTGTCAGGTGTGTGCAGTTGCACAGCATCTAAGCCGCGATGCTGCAGCTGACAAAATTTGTTTGGAATCGGACATGGGCGGTCCATGTATGCAGCAAAACAAGTCTGGAAACCTGTTGCCATTTGGCTCTAGTGATGCAGCCCCTCAAAGAAAGGTGGATGTTTTAAGAAAGGCGGTTTTCATGCGGGCGAAACTGAGAAGGAGCACGTTCATTCCTATGTGGCAAGCTTTGTGTTCAATCAAGAGAATAGCCTTGAGCAGGAGATTTAGCTGTGCCAGAGCTGCATTGACACCTTTCTTCACTTTTGTTGTCGCTTTGATTTGAGCCCAGGCTTGCATCGAATTCGGCCGGAGTTTGCAAGCATCTTTGACGAATCGGCGCCGCCGCGCTCAGTTTTGGAGTTCCTCTTCGTTTGCATTCTTGTAATTCAAACTGAATGAGAGTATCGCAAATGAGAGTATCTCCACTGAATGATGTTTTCCATCCGAGGCATCCTGATGAGATGCAACGGGCTTGCGAGGAGGCCACTCCACGCTGTGTGGATAGATGAGCGCCGCAATGAGCAAGAGCTGTAGATGGGCGACGCGCAATGCGTAGTGTTTATTAGCAATGAAATTTCAGTCAGGTCCTCGCGCGCAGAGAGCACGTTTTGTGGACGGCAGGGTTGGAGCTTCCTGGCAGCGCTTGAGTCGTAAACCTCCTACGGGTCGCGCCTGGAATGCAAAGTCTGACTACCTCCAACTGCCAAAGTACGAACTTGCTTGCCCTGTTGTTCGTTACTCGGTTTGGATGAACAGGATGTTGGCGTGCGAAGCATTGGCGATTTGACAAGTGAGGCTGGTGGTGGCGGCAATGTCCGCTTCTTAATGTGTGCTACTTGTGCAAACATATGTATGAGCAGCAGTTAGCCTGTCAAAATGACTGGGTTGATGAGCTGGCAATTTTTCATTACAAAGTTGGGGCTTTGTGAACGTTGCATTTTGCGATCATTTGAAGTGCGTCCTTGTTGCCTTCTGAGCGTGAAGGGTCTTTGGTCTTCGGCCCTCGCGCTAACCAACCTAGGCTTGCGCACTGTGGTGTGAACAAGCAAGCCAGCAGTATGATTTTGTTCAGCTTTTGTTTATGTGGCGCTTTGAGCTTGTGTACGGCCCGACAGCTCGCAGTCGGAGCTTCGCCCCTTGCAACCCCCAGTTGTTGCTTCTTTTCGTTTTGGTTTACGACTTGAGCCCCTGCCTTGGCTTAATGCTTGCGCGGCGATCTTTATTGCGGGCTGAGACTCGCACGCGCAACCACACATACGTGAGACTTGGATATAGTCAGACTGTTTCAAGGTCTTTCCTCGGATTTGACATTCGCCGGAGCCCGCTGGTGCCTTGTGTCAGCTCAACCTTGCTTTTGCTCCTTGGCATACTCGCTGCGCCATAATCTTGAGTCTTGCTGAGCATCGCAAGGCTGGCCGGTATTGGATATCACGGCGCTTTGGTCCTCAGCCAGGCCAGGGGGCCAGTGTATCTATGTTCCGGGGATTTGCTTGCAATGACACGTCGTTTCCAATTTGTCGGAATGATCAACTGGTCACAGTGTGTTCTTGAAGTGCGTGTGTTGTAGGGTTGCTCTTGGAAGTAGGGCAACGTTTTGTTGGCGGTTGTGTGAGCCTCCGCCACGGGCTTTACTTGGCAGTGTTCTCTTGCTTTGATTTTGCTTCATGGCTGCCTATTTGCGGAGCAGCTTGCCGAGCTCCTTGCAGCGAGACTTCGGCGCCGGCAACGGGGCACGCCCCACGCCTGAGGTAATGGCGCGCGCTTTTACTATTTGGAGGACTTACAGCGCGTGCTGGGCCCGGGCCGCAGCGACACCATTTCCCTCCTGGCCCCCCCCAAACTACAGACATGACAGACAACCCTTGGCACTTGGTCGGCAACCGTCCCACCCCACTCAACCGCCGATCGCTTCAGACAACTCTCAATCACAACAAGCTACCCCTGCTCAGCGCCGCCCACCAACACTACAGACACCACCACTCACACCTCCAACTGACCCAAAACGCAAAGACACTTTCGAGCGGCCGCGCGTCTCACCGCTTGCAGACATGCAACAACTGACCCACTATGCATGGCAAGACATTTCTTCACAGACATTTCTTCACGCTCGCCCCTGACATTGCCAAACGAGGGGATGCACCCCTCCTACGGGTCCTACCGCCCTTAAAGCACATAATTGCGGCTCACGTGTCGCACGAAGGAAACGTGACATCGATCCTCACTGCGGGCGAAATAGCGTGCAGTGTTCTTCATGACATTGAGAATCCTAGTTTTTCGCGAAGATCATGACGCCTGAGAGGCTTCCAGAGCGGTTATATACAAATGCCTACTTGCTTGACAAAAATCGCAGTGGCACTGTGTTAACACTGTAAGCATGTGGAGCTGGGTAAAAGCGCGAGAGCGCCGCCATTCCGAATTTGAACGCCGGCAAAGGCATTGTTAAGGACAAGCTGGGGCGATGTTGGACAACCGATCCAAAATTCACCAGGATCAATCAAGGGTATGGCGTAGCGAGTAGATGACAGCCCACCGCAATGTCGCCTACTTTACTGCCCAGGAGTTTTTTCAGCTTGCGTGTAGCCTATACGGTTTGGCTTCACCTATGAGCAAAGACTCCCACAGCTCTAGCAAAAATACTTGTCCAATTCATCCATGTCCCCAGCAGACATCGCAGCTTTTCAGAGTTCAGTTTTGACCGTCCTTGACCCACCAATGTTTCTTGCGCGGTTAGCTAACATGGCCTGGGCTCACCGTTTTTCTCAACTCTTGCTTGATTAATTCGTTTCCAATCTGGTGTCACTGGGTCAAATCATTCCTGATTCGGTTTCGCTTTTCCTCAGTTGTCATTTGTCAAGTTCTAGCCATGACGACGCCAGTGGGCATACCCATCGCCCAACGCCTCCATTGGAACCTCCCCTTTCTTTCGCAAGTCCAATCGCAACCCCAACAATCAGCCGCCCAGTCTGCCTTCATAGTACCACTACCGCCGCCGCCGCCACCGCCACCACCGCCGTCACTTCTCCCTCGCTCACAGGCCGACGCTCTCGCGCATACGGCGCCACGTTCCCCCACTACCTTTCCACACGGCAACGCCGGCAACGCAAAGTCAAACCCAGACCACCGCCGCCGACTTTCTGCCTCCTGTCTTCCGTTACCCGCGCGAACACCGCTAAGTACACCAACTTTCCCCTTGAACAGAAGCTCGGGTTTGGTTGGAAACACGTAGCGTCAAGACTCAACGAAACCTTTCCACTGCAAACTCCGCGTCTTCTACCAGCACTGACTTTCTCATCAGGGGGACGAGCCTCCACCTGCCACCGTCGACAGCGGCGCCATCAGCTACAGCTTCAGCGCCAGTGATTTCACCTCACCCAGCAGAAGAAGTCCCTCAAGAACCTTTCGCAAGGCAGACAGAACTAGCCAAAACCCAACAATAGTTTGGGGTCATCTACCGTCGCGTGACATTTATATGACGCTTGAGCGATTGAACTCGCGCTTTGTACACGTGTTCACTGCAACAATGACTCCATCTCTTTTCCACTACTTCGATTTTCTGATTGTCTATAGTCAGTGTCTTTGCTTCCGCCCGAAATTCACTATCCTTGATGAAACAACTTGAGCCCTACGACCTACAACTCCAGGACGCGGCCGCATTTCACCAACGGCCTACTATGCCTATGCGCGCGCAAAAGCTGAACCAGCTAAACCGCCATTCAGCAAGCGCGCGCGTTCTCCTTTGCTTGTCCCCAACTTGAAAGTGTTCGTCCGTCCCTCATGTCAAAGACAGTGTGCAACAACTCGCCTCCCGCCTTTCTGAATCCGCAAGCAACACAACTATAGCGCGGAACCTCACCCGCCTTCAGATCAACGCTTCGTGATGCCATCCGCTCACTCCCAGGACCACGCACCGCAGCCCCATTCGCCAGACTAAGATCTCGCTCCACTTCTCCATTTTGTCACCAACGCCCAGGCGAGGAAACTTCAGAAGATTGTCTCCAGCTGGAGCCGCGCGCCCGCGCGCGCGCCCGCGATTAGCGACAAGCTGCATCATCAACCTCAGCGTCCGCCTTCAGACAAAGGCAGAGACCTCCGATTTAGATTGAATTCGTTTCGCCGCCATTAGTTTAACTCTTGTTCCTACAAGGCGCAAAGGGCGCCTGCTTGCAATTTTGCAGGGCGTGCAACTGTCTTCTTTTATTTGAATCTACTTCGCCCAGCGCGTTAGGCAGAGCCTCTCCTCCATCTCTATTCTCAATGTCGGATTTGATCACCGTCTTTTCAGCCCCTCTCAGCCTTTCTGCAAGCCATGGAAGGCGAGTTCCGGCCACGGACCTACATTTTGCCCTCAGGAGACATGCGTGCGATCAAGGCTTCGCAACGCAGTGTGAAGTCTACGCTTTACCATTGCCTCAAACCATTACTGGCTTGACGCCCCACTTGGTGTGCCGGATAGAAAGAATCCGCGACGTCATGCCCAACAAGACACGCAAGCTGCCCTCGACCATATGGAGGCCATCGGACGTTCTCCTCTTCATCTTGCAAGAGGCAAAGGAAGGGCAAATACCCTGACGAACCCAACCTATAGACGACCCGATAATTCCCACTGCCACTCCACCCAACGCCACGTCCAATATATCCGCTCAATCCAACTCTACACCACGCCTCCCACCCAGCTACCTCATGCGCCCACCACATCTCACTAACACCCCCTCCCGCAATCCGGGCAACCAGCTTTACGACCTCTCCGCCGCAAAAATTCGGCCGCGCTGCAGTCCAACCTGCCCATGATCACGGCCGATGCTTTCGCAAGCGCTCACGCTTCACCAGCTTATACAACATTCACGTTCCACTTCACGGAGCAGCCACCCTCTTCCGCGACCGTTCAGCAACAATCGACCGCCGTACAAACCCATCCAGCCACAGCCACAATTGCAGCCACGATGTTTTCAGGGATCGCCTGGCCCCTGACGGATCGGCTCCTTATAGTCACCGTCGGGGAGCGACCGTCATTGGTGAGGAGGCACTGTAGCTATTAGATGGCTCCATCACCGCTTTTGCGGCGTACGAAAAGGCCAGTCCGCTATGCCGTTTTGTAATTCTTTGACGGTTTTAAATATCCATTCTAACAGATGAAGCATTCCTGATTGCTCCTGTAACTCCGGTACACAGCCTGCGTGAATTCAATTCCGAAGCACTTCAGTTTTGCGCTGCTCAGATCTTCAGCGTTCCCCCCCACCAATTTTCCACCTTGGATTTTTGCAGTTTTCCAGCCCTATCTCATTTCACATGTCACTCAGCTGATTTGTTTCAAGCCGGTTTTTTTCGTGATTGCTTGTGATCCGTCGCCTTCGACATGGGCGTGTGGTGCAGCGCAGGGTATGGACCGCTTGCCAACGCGGTCCGTTGTTTGGTGGACGTCCAACACTGGGGCCGTCGGCGCCAGACCCTACTGTGACAACCCTCGCCGGCGCCGCGTCGCCTACTTTTCCACCCGAACCGCTCCACATCCGCTACACAACGCGGTCCCAATTCGCCTTTCCATCCCCGTATACATTTCCCTACGCTGGCACCAACGCCTGCCCCAACTCCACATCACTCCGCAGACGTGCTAGCGCATCACCTTCTCCCAACCTAACACCGTCTACCAGCAAAACAACTCGCCCAAAACCACTGGATCTCCGCGCAGCTTTCACTCCGTTTTTGGCGTTCTCAAAACATCCTCCGCCGGTAAAATCTACCTTCCCACCGCCTCGCAAGCGCTTGCGCATACAGCACTGGCAACCCCCTCTCAATTGGCCTCACATTCAAAAGCATCTTTGCGCCAAGGTGGAGGGATGGTAATTTGCAAAACATCGCGCGCGCTTCACACGGCTGGCCACACATAAACGCTTGTTTCAACGACGCTATCCGCAGCGGTCGTTGCGCAGACATGGAAATTTATGCAATGAGATGCACGGCAGCCAGTTTGAAACCAGATCGATCTAGAGTCGTCACCTTATGTTTTTCTACTTATAAGTCCTGTTACGGTACTTATACTTATAAGCGGCGTAAGTCTACTTATGCTAGTTATGGACCTTACAAAACTAGTAGCGTAAGTGCGACGGCAAGTAGAACATGGTGTTTTTGAAGGTTTTGATTCTTTCTGTCCGCGCCTGTAAATTCAACCTTGCTGTAGGCTGCCATGGCTGGACTCCATGGACTTGGCCGCGGAAGTCTGTCTGGGACCGCGCTAGAGACTAATATCTCTCCGGAGGAGTCGGAGATACAAAACAAGAAGCCCCAAATCTACGCGCGGCGCGGAAGCACCCAACCCCAAAAAACGGAAAATCCAACGCCTCCCGCCCCGGTCTTCCCACAAATTTCCCACAAATGATTTCCCAATTTTTCAATCTTCCACAATTCTCCTTATTAAAAGTAATTGACAGGGCCTTTCCCACATTCTACTTCTCAAAAGGCTTCCCACAAATTCCAACAGTTTTCCCACAATTCCGGGCGATTCAACTTGTTGTTTGTTTGCCTTTGTCGCTTCTGTGATAATTTGGAGCCCACCAACGCATGAGCAAGTGCGCGCGTAGTATAGCCGGGACTACGGTGTTTGCGCTGTGTGGCTGGACACACCAAATATCAACACGCTGTTCGTCAGGCAGCTCTGAACACATGATTTGGAGACGCCTACATCATTCTGAGCGTCCAAGTTGCGCGTTTTGTGTTTCATGCGCGCGCGCGCAACCTGCCTGCCTGCCTGCCTGTTTGCCTGCCTGCCTGCCGTTCTCCGTGCCCGGGAACGTAGGTGTCCGAAGCGGACAGCAGGAGGCTTACGCCAAAGTTATTTGCCAAGACTTGCTGAAATATTGCATGGCTCATGCCTTTACGCGACCGCAGCGGTCTAGGCTGGCTTAACGCCTCAACGTGCCCAAACCGACCAAAGCTTTTTTGAGGTTCGTTGGAACCTGCCGGAGCCTTAGAGTGATGAGTTCCTCCCCACCTATTCCCACCATGCTCCCTTTCCCTGCTGGATTGGCGCCGACGGAGGGCATCCCTACGGTGGCTCAAGCTGTACTTCACGAGGAAATTCTTCATGTACACGCCACGCTTCCTTGGAACTGGTACTTGGGATTCTTCGCGTCCGTTTAGAGGTTCTTTCCCCTCCCTTCTTGGAGAGGGTCACTTGTCCTCACCTACAAGTGAAACTTCGCGGCGTGGGTTCTGCCCTTCGTCAAGCGATGCAGGTCACCCATACCGCTCTGCACTATACCCACGCGAGTTGATGACCACTTTCGGTTTGATCCACACATTGCATTATGACGCGGACGAGTTGGATGCTGAACTACGTGGATGCACTTCCTTTCGCGACCCTCGCACCCTCGTTTCCCCTCGTCTTGACACCCGGCCTTCATCTTCTTCGACTTCGGCGGTGACTACGCCAATGACGGCCCACGACCAACCTCCCCATCTTTTTGACTCTGGACACAATCTTCGCTCGACCACTACGACCAGACCTGTGCACGGCGTCACGGTGGCCACCACAACCTGCAGGGCCTCGTCACCGCTCCGGCCCCAACGCTGCTTCGGACCGTCACGTTCTCGCTCACGCCTGAACCCTATAGTTAGTTGGATCGTCTCACCCACATCTTCGCTAGCGCTTTGATCTCAAAAGAACCTTTCTACTTCATGGTTTTCTTTGCTGTTCCTCACGTGGACAACGTGGCACCTTCGTGTTACACACCGTTCTTTCTCAATGTGGTTCTTCGGCTCCAGCCCTGGTGATCTCAATGCACCCTACCGCCACCATGCACTGATTCCTTTTTTGGTCTCCCCCCACATGTCACGGTTTCATTTCTTGTTTCTTCGGTGGTTTCCATCGATACCCCGACTCACTTTAGCCATGGAACGTCGTGACTCCTCGGACTCCTCTCACCGCCGAAGACGTCGCCCCAATGGCCGTCCAGAGTCCTCCAGATCTCGCGTGCTGCTGTTTGTGTTGGAAGCAGAGCCTGATCAGCTCTGTGTACCTGCTTGAATTCTAACGTTTGCAGAGGTGAGTCGTAAAGTGCTAGTTGCATTCCGCAGACATGCGCGTACGTCGTCATTTGTCGTTTCGATCTCGACTTGCGCTTTTGGCCCCTTCTCCTTTTGAAGACCTCCAGGTCCGGTGGTTCTTACTTGCGCTCTTGAAATGGTAAAATAGGCCGGCGTGTGGCAACCGCTTTCAGTTCCGCACGCAAAATCATAAGTGTGTGCGTGTGTGTGTGTGGCTGCGTCTCTGTGCGTGTGTGTTTTTGGCCAGCAGGTAGAAGTGCAACCTCAAATCGGGAAAACCGGACGCGTGGCTTAGGCAGAGACAGTTGTCCACACATTACTCTCCACTTCCATAGCGGCGGCGATTTGTGGCGGCCCCAGCGGCCCCATGTCTAAACCGTTTTGAGTTTTCTTGAGCGTGATGGTGACTTGCTCAGGTGTCAACTTTGTCATAGAGACCTTGGCAGGCGATTTCAATCAAACTACATTCGGAGAATGCGAATGTTAAGCTACCCTCAGGAACCTTTGAGAGCACTGCAAGCATGCCACCTGTATGGCTGCCTGACCCCAAGCTGCCGGTGGAAGCTTTTAAAATTTAAAGAGCCAGTGGCTTTGGAGTACGGAGTATAATTTTGCTAGGTTGTTTGCGGCGCTGGTTTTGCCCTACTTCATACTCATGTGCTGGGTGCTTGGCGTCTTTGGCGTTGCAAGTGTGCTATGTACAGACAAGGTAACCTTAGGGGTTCTAATCTAAACCAGGCTGTTCTGTTTGGCTTCGGGGGTTGCTGCTGCCGTGGTAGCTTGGAGCTTCTCAGGCCTGGCTGCAACCAGCGTGTTCTTGGGCCTCGCGATGCACGACCTGCGGCAGATGTCTGAGGCGCTGGCTTGACGCGAAGACTGAACCCAGCATGAGGTTTTGCAGCAGCGTGCTTGTAAATATTGGCTAGCGCTCTGCTGTAATGCGCTGTGGCAATCTGCAATTCGGATTCCGGTTTGTTTGGGTTTCTCGACCATTTCCCAACTTGCGTTTTGAAAGGAAAGCTCAATCAGCAGCGAGGAGCTAGAGATGCAGGCAGAAAGGGTGCAGGGCCAGGACATCAGAATCGGACTTCATTGAGCCAGCCTTTCAAAAAGGCCAATATAGTTTTGAGCTTTGAGACTTGAGAGGATGTATGTTGTGTTTGCGCCGCCGAACGCAAAGATGCGGCGCTGGTGCCCTGTGGGCACAAGGTCGGCCTCCGCGTACGTTTGGTCCACAACTCCACAACCTTCAGTTGCAGTTTTTCTTATTCATCGTGTTGCCGTCCTTTGAGCAACGGCCTTTCAATTGCTAGTAGAGAACCCAAGCCGGCCAAGGTTTTTGTAGGGCCCTGAAGAGCAAAACGTCCTTTCTGCGTGTATGTTGACAGACTATCCTGACAAATGCTGCCTGCGCTGAGGGTGTTCTGGCGTCACGCTGGCGATTCTGGATTGCGTTTTGATGTTTTTTGTTTCCTAGGGTGTGCGACCTCTGCTCTGGTATCAAAGCCGGCGCGTGCTCAGACATGTAATGTGATATAAGGTCCGACTTCCGTTCTGCGTTTTGACACGCGCTCTGCCATCTAAACCTGCTGTTTGTTCCGACATGCCTTCTACTTTGTCCTGGCGTCAATTCTAACCGACAAGCGTGCCAGTTGTTCTAGCAGTATGAGTTCCAGCGAGTGCTCTGGCCTGCGTTCAGAACAGGATCTGAATGATTTCGGGCGTGTATTCTGACATTTGTTTTGGACATGCGTTTTGAGGCTATGCGTTCTGACGTCTTCAAGCAAGTCCAGCGCGTAACAAAGCCGAGAGAAGGGTGCAGAGTCTGTGCGACGACCGCGCGAAGTCTGGGAGAAGTCAAGCGCGCAAGCTGAGCAGTCCACCGCGCATCGAAGCTGGAGAAGTTAGTTGCCTGGCGCGCAGCGCGCTGAAAGGCTGCGCGCAGCCTGCAGCAGCAGGAACGAGGCCTGCTAAGGGAGGAGGAAGACGAGGAGGAGGAGGAAGAGGAGGACGTTCTTCCTGACTTGTCGGGCTTATAAGTTAGTCCGTCCAGAACGCGCTGCGGGAATCGCGCGCGCCCACAGTGTTCCTGAGGCGCGGTGCAAACTGCGGCGCGTCGCTGGGCGCCCTCCTTTTGCGGTGACTGCGCGCGCGGAAGTGTAACCCCGTGCAATTTTGGCGCTGCCAGCAGGCCTTTGGTAAAACTGCGCCTATGAAACTGCAGCAAGGCCCAAAGTTTTTTTTGTGGCCGTGGGCAACCCTTTGCGAGAATCACGTTAGCGATCAAAATTGTTCCAGAAGGCAGATGCCTGTAGTAAGACGCGAACTTCTGTGGTCAAAGTGCGATGCAGTGAGACTGTCGACCAGGATTGGGCGAGTTCGAACGCCGCGCTTGAAGTGGCTCCTGCTCTCACCCACTTGCAACTGCATCAAGTCTATATATGGCGCACAGTGCGGCGTGGAATTGGGTCGGTAACGTCGCTGCGCCACACTGTTTTGCGAGGGTAGCGAGGTGGGGTCCTGGCGGAAAGTACGTGTGCGTTGCGCCGCCGTTGGGGAAGGGAAAGCATACACCATGGGGCCCCCCTAGTTAAAGAACTTATAACTTAAGATACCACACTTAAAAAAGTTATAAGTTAGTTATATTGAACTTATCATAACTTAGTTATAAGTAAAGTTGCGGAAGTTACTAACTTCTGTAACTAGTTTGAGCGTGAAAGATGATGAAATCTTTGCAAAAATGAAACAGTGTGCAAAAATCTTGCAAACATAATTTTTCTCAAAAAACATAACAAAACCTTAGAAAAATGACTACCGCCTAATGTTTCTATGCGCGCGGCATTCCGCATCAATGTATGTGTGTGGGCGGAATACCGCCAAAATGTGTGTGTGTGTGTGTCCGTGTTGTGATGTGGGCGGAATGCCGCCAAACGAACAAACCGCAACAAGGCGGAATGCCGCCAAACAAACAAACAATCAAAGAACGGTCATATATATTTATTTATATACATATATATATATAGGCGGAATGCCGCCAAACTTAAAGAACAATCATAAAGGCGGAACGCCGCCACAAAAGAACAGCCATATAGGCGGAATGCCGCCAAACAAAGAACAGGTTAATACCTCTCTAAGGTACAAAATCAAAACAGCCAAAATCGGAAACCCAGATACCACCGGATACCACCCAGATACGACCGGATACCACCGGATACCACCCGGATACCAACGGATACCGGCCGGATACTGCCCGGATACCACCGGATACCACCCGGATACCGCCGGATACCGCCCGG